AAAAACCCTTCCTGGTACATGGCTTTCGTTGTGCAAATGCTATTCCAGAGAAAGAGAGATCCTTTTTCTTTCAATTTATGAAATAAAATTTTGGGGCAACTCAAACGGCAAGTTTTGAGAACTGAAAACATCAATGGTACTTGTGTGAAATTTACAACTTTTGAACTTGTGGTTGCAATGACGAATGCAAGCAGTACATGAGTGAACTTGGACAGCAGTTTAAATACTTCAAGAATTCTATACTTTTCTGCCAGTTAAAAAACTAAACAAACGATTATGACTTCGTAGTGGCAATTATCTGAATTAAGGAAAAGCATTTTTATTATGGGAAATTGAGCTGTAAACCTCTTGAAAACACTTCCCGTACCTGTGCATTTGTTTACTTTGAAGCATGACTTGTACCACAGGTGGACCAGGCTCTGTCACAGGCTCTTTCACAGTGGATTATTATAGAGTTTGTATAGTGGTTTAATTGGACTTGCTTTTGAGCTCCATAAATATAAAGTTGTGTGAAATAAAAAAAGGAATAAAGTCTTACCTTCATGAAGAGAGGTCTGTGCTGTTCTTGTCATGATTTGAGGCCATTTTGCTGTGTTTCAGCTCAACGTCCTTGCACTAACACAGCAAAACAGCCTCAAATCGTGAGGAGAGAGTACTCTGTACGAAGATAAGACTTTATTTTTTTGATTATTTCACACAACTTTATATTTACGGAGCTCAAAAGCAAGTCCAACTAAACCACTATACAAACTCTATAATAATCCATTGTGAAAGAGCCTGTGACAGAGCCAAAGCCTGGCCATCTGTGCTTGTACCAGTTATCTAGATATGAAAAGTATTCATTAAAATATTCGCATTTTGTCTGAAAGAATCGCAAAAGCAATTATGGAAGAATGGGACAAACATTCACTAACCTCATACATTTGGAAGCAAAAAACTTATAATTGGCTTGAAAATACGGCTTAATGAGAGAAATCAGGCCTTCGACTTTTATCAACTTTGTATATTCTTACTAAAGTATAGAACATTACGCTTGATGCCAAAATTGTACCTGCCAGAATCCCATGCCAACAAAATCCTTCAGATCCTAGGCTCTCTGTTTTTTAACTATAAATGTTTTTCATTTCATCATGGAAGCCTAAGGTTATCTTCCCAGAAAATAAGCACGTAATGGGAGGGAGATTTGGGATTTGGTGAAATGGAAGGATTCTAGTTTTTTTCTTTAATTCCCAACAGGAGATCGGCTACTGTCCCAAGATTGATTTGTTGTTGTTGTTGTTGTTTTTTCCAAAAGCTTACATAGCCTTTTTTAAGGATCATAGGATTTACTAGGGAATTTTTTTGTCTGCTTTGGACGCGAGCCCAAGCCCAAGCCCATGCTCGAACCTCCACACCCCCACCCCCTTACCTGGGTCTAATCAAAGAGGATGTCACGCAATCTAGTTTAGCTGAGGGATTTTGGTCTTTTTTCAACAATATATGTATATGAGGTAAGTAAATGTTTGTCCCATTCTTCTAATTGCTTTTACGATTCTTTCAGACAAAATGGCCTCATTTTGGTGAACACTTTTCATATTTAGATAACTCGTACAAGCCATGCTTCAAAGTAAACAAATGCACAGGTACGGGAAGTGTTGTCAAGAGGTTTACAGCTCAATTCGCGCAATAAAAATGCTTTTCCTTTCAGATTATTGCCACTACGAAGTCATAATCGCTTGTTTAGTTTTATAACTGGTAGAAAAGTACTGAATTCTCAAAGTATTTAAACTGCTGTCCAAGTTCACTCGTGTACTGCTTGTATTGGTCATTGCAACCGCAAGTTCAAAAGCTGTAAATTTCATGCAAGTACCGTTGATGTTTTCAGTTCTCAAAACTTGCCGTTTGAATTGCCCCAAAATTTTATTTCATAAATTGAAAGAAAAAGGATCGCTCTTTCTCTGGAATAGCATTTGCACAACAAAAGCCATGTACCAGGAAGGGTTTTTAGCCATTGAAAAATGGCAAAATTGATAGTCACGATGAAACTGTTTTAGAGGGTGATTTTGAAAACAAATTAAAAATTCAGATTGGGATCTTTTGAAATTACAACAGCGTTTTCATACATAGGAAGGGTCATAAAATCATTTTATATTGCAATTGTCATGGTATTTGATTCCGTTTCTATTCACCATGCAAGGATGCAAGGCACATTTTTGGGTGGTTCAAGGGCCTCTCGGAGGCGAAAATTCAAAAACATTATTTTTTTGGAAAATATCAGTCACAAGAAACTGAATCTTGTATATTCTAAAATAGTTTCATAAGGGCTTTAATATGACAGAGCTTGGGAGATTTCGATTTTTCCATCTTGCACACCTATCCGTGATATTTGTAGAAAGTCGCTCTTAAGTGGCTAGTGACAACTTAGATGTTACAACAATTTCAGTTTTTTTACTTGCCAAACTGGCTAGTGGAACTGAAAACCACTCAGTAAAACTGATTTTCTCCTAATCTGTGCCTTAGTTGGCTACCATTAGAGTCAAGCCCTGATTTCAGTAGGCTTCCCAGAATGCTGAGCGAAGGTAATTTGGATGAGCAAGTGTCCAGTATTTTCTTTGGGAAAAAGTGGCCGCCATCTTTGATTTTAATGGCAGGGGAAGGCTGGGGAGAGAAAGAAATTTGTGCCAAGGGAGTGAGTGACAGTCAAAAATAAGGAGAGGGGCTGGGGAGGGGAAGTGAATGTTATGCTCTTCCCCCAGCCCCTACCCCCACTGTGCTTTCTGAATCCAAATCAAACATGGCTTTCGGATAAATGACAACAAGCTAATAATGTTAACTTGCCCTAATAAGACACCTCCACTGCAGGCTATAGGCTTCCCTGAAAATTCACCTGTACCCACAGTATTTACTCAGGGGTGGACAGAGGCACTGTCAGAGTGAAGTGTTTTGCCATAGAGCATGATACAATGACCTAGCTAGGTCTCAAGCCCAGACCTTTCTTGGAGTCCAGCAAACTAACCATTAGGCTACTGTGTCTCTCACAAAATCATTGTGAAAGGGTTTTATTCACCTTTTCACTCTGAAGATCTTAATAACAATTCTCCTTACTGCCTGCTATACAATTCTTATGATTTTAGTTTGAAGAATTTGGTATTAGATCAACTAATTATCCCCTTATTGATACTTTTCTTTATTCTCATCACTTGTCCACTTGAAATTGTATTGATATAGTAAGGACAAATTCTGTCTTGGTCACATATGGGAGTGAAAGGGTTAATTTTGTTTCTTTCAAAGGTTGCAAGTGGCAATTTACTTGCATTACTTTCAAGACACTTTCAGCGAATCTCGTGTCTGAAATTCATTGATGATGGATCTCACTTCGTGTCATGTGGTGATGACAATTTAGTGATGGTGTGGAAAATGGCAAAGTAAGCTCTAGAAAACTTTTTGTTCTCAAACAGAGAATTTCTATTAACTTCTTTTTATAGTACTGTACCTTAATCCTTTGTTCCCACGAGCTCTTTAATAATCCTCTTTACTGTTTGCCATACATTGCTAATAATTTTAGTTTGGAGAATTGTATGTATGNNCTGTTATTTTAAGACCATGAGTATTGGTCCAGCCAGGGCTCAAACCCTCGACCTCCTGCACAACACACTCCGGTGCTCTAACCAATTGAACTAACTGGAATTTGGTATTGGATCAATTAATAATCACCCAATTGATATTTTTCTTTATTCTTGTCACTTGTCTACTTGATATTGTATTGATAACCAAGGAAGAGAGTATGTCCTAGTCACTGTCAGGAGTGAAGAGGTTAAACTAACTTAATACATGATTTTTACATTGGTAAGCAGACAAGTTAAAACTATATTGCATAAAATATTAACTTCAATTTTCTTTCTTTACAAAGTTTACATTTTTTTCAGAGTTTATTTGTACCTGTGCTTGTCAATTCTGAGTGCTAGAGATTGTTTTATTTTTGACAATCTCATTATTCCTGTTACGTTACTGAAATTGATACCTTTTATCACAAATAGGTTGTTTTTGTTCTAACGTCAAAGAGAAATTAGGATTTTTACTGGAATTGGCAGTAATGCGGAAATTGTTCTGATTGGCCAATTTGCAGTTGTCGATAAGAGTGCGAACAATGCTGTTCGTGTGTCAAAGTTTCATGCAATGGTCATGCACTGAAACTTTGTTGCAGACACACTCAGCCTCGCCTTGCAAGTCTGCATCATTGGCCACTGTGATGACAAATATTGTTGTTGACAAGAGTACAGACCATGCTAAACCACTACTGATTTCTATTTTGCCACAATAGTGATGTCAAATAAAACAATTCTTTCAGTGCTTGACCAAGATTGTAACACATTGATGTAAAGCACCATTATCTGGACTCTTATCAACCAGGGCAAATTAACCAATAGTCCTTTTTACAGTTGTGGGCTGGGTGGCCAAGACTTTGAACAGGAGTGGGGCTTAGGGTGACCTTGTTATGATAGAGATGTTGCGGCTTTTCAAATGCAAATTACTTTGTTATCATGCTAACTAGATACAGGTCTCTATCACAACAGGGTCACCCTTAGCCTCACTCCTGTTCAAAGGCTTGGCCACCAAGCCCACAACTGTAAAAGGGACTATTGGATTGAGACAAGTATCACTAATTGTGATAAGAAAAAATGTTAATTTATTTGTTAAATTCTTATGAAAATTTTTTTTCAGGATTTTGTCTTGTTCATCAAACAGTATAGGAACATCTGATGCAACACAAACCCCAAGGTACACATGGTCTGACCATGCCCTTCCTGTCACTGATATTCATTGTGGATGTGGGGGCATGAGAGGTCATGTGATCACTGCATCCCTTGACCAAACTTGTAAGGTAAATGAAAGTAAGGGTGTAATTAGCTTGGTTGAATATGTGTTAGTGATCTAAGGGTATGAAACTAAAATTTAATTTTTAACTGAGGTTTAGAAATAAAGCCACAACACAGATATAAGTGGTGTGATATACCTTGGTAACTGAAGTTTGCCAAAAAAGAAGAAAGATTGGATAAGAGACTGGACCAGTTTCTGTAGTATGAAGTAACAAGGAGTGCTGAAGTTGTCCTTTTTTCATGGAGTGTTAGGGAATGCCATTCCCTACCGCCTCCCCTCCCCCCTCCCGTAGCTTTTCAGTCTGTCCACCTGACAGTTCTGGTTCCCAGATATCCTTCTGATTAAAGAGACACAGTGAGAGCTAACTCTTTTTCTTAAATATACAGCACTTTAAGCTGGGCCAGCACTTAACCTTTCAAGTCGCATTTTAAACCTTCCTACAGAATCCCTGCTGAATCACATATCAGGGTCATGGCAATAAAGGAAGTGATAGAAAACTGAAAATAATCTCTTGATTGTGAAAAAAATTCTCCATGTCAATACCATAGCAAATGTTTATAGAACAGTATGGAGAATATGCATATTGACATTAGGGTGTAAAGCCTTAAACCCCAACCTCCTGATCAAGAGTCCATCTTCCCTGGGACAAGAAGTCTACCACACTTGTTAAAGTTTTTACACGATTAAAACAAACTTCTGCTTCTTTTTATTCTGCTCACATCCAGATAAACGGTTACAACAACAGAGAGAGAAAACAAAATACACTAGTATATATATGCTAATTCCTAAAAAAAGAAAGTTTGAATAACAAAAGGAAAGCAACACCTGGACCAATCATAGGTCAAATTAACTATTCCTGTGAAATATTTCAAATTTAAAATAACAACGGCAAAACATAATATGCATAATAACAACACTTGTTACATTCCTTTTTTATTTTCCTAGTTGTACAACCTGAGTTCTGGTGAACTTTTATGTTCGTTTGTATTTGATGTTGGAGTCGCAGCTGTGACAATGGATGCTGCAGAACAGAACTGCTTTGCAGGAGGAACAGATGGCAACATCTACCAAGTAGAGCTTTTTAGAAGGGTAAGCATCAAATGATTTTTGCTTCCCTCTTTCATGAAATAGAAATAACAATTCATGCAGTTACTTCACCTTTCAATCCATTTGTTTCGTAAAACATATTTTTGGTCTTGTCTTGAGTCATTAGTTGCCCGTCCAGCGAGAACTTGTCCTGGTTTCCATGCATGAAGAGAAGCGACTAGGATTATTACTACTCCCCCCAGGGTGGGTTGTTTGTCCATCAGGCTTCCCCCCCCCCAGAATTTCATCAGTCTTCCCTAACAATTTGCTGGTACCCATTGTCTCCTTGGTAGAGAGTGGCACTAGGAGGGTAAAGTGTCTTGCCCAAGAACACATTTTATTCATACTGAGATTTAAGCAGTGAAGCACTATCGTTCGTGTCTCTGATTGGATGAACAGTGTAATTTCTCAGCTCCGACTAAGGGCTTACGCTCGAAACGTCAGCTTTTATAATCGTTACGGTGGCCAATTTACCATTTCAACTTTGTTGATATATTCAAATTATTTTCTCAGTTGTTCACATACAATCTTTAAAATGTGTTGTAAAGCAAGAAAAAAATCTCAGTATGTATGAAATAAAAACATCATACCATGGAAAGTGTGCCCAGTATATCAAAAAATTCACTCATTTGCTGTGTCAAAAATCACTTGTGCGCACTTTCCATGGAATTATTATCTCTGTCCGGGTATTGAACCTGGACTTCACAAGCATGTCCTTACAGCATGTCCTTTGGTCACAGCTTGTCCTTACCGCCTAATATTTTTCTTTCTTGAAATAAGGGGATGAAGAATGACATGCACTTGGAGAAAGAAGAAGCCCTCATCTTCAGTGGTCATAGGTAATATTCTCAATAGTATGATGGTCCAATAATTTTTTTGTCTACAAGGTACTTGGAACTTAAATGTATGATTCTTTTTTTACAGCATTATTGTGTATGACTCGTATAATACTAATACTGTAATACAATAAACAATATCAATCGAAAATTGTGTGAGCAAAGCAGAAAAAAATTCATGGACCCAATAGGGCTGGTGCGAGCAGGACACAAGGACCCCTGCCAGGCACAGCCCAAATTTGAACTTAAGCTTCTCGATGTCAACCACAATACGCTCAAAATCAAGACTGAGCAAAGAAATTAACCTTGAAGGTAGAATGCAAAAAAAAATTCCGGCCCCAACAGGATTTCAATCCATGCCTGCCAGATACTAATTAGGTGCTGCTACCAACTGAGCTGTGAAGCCACACATTGGGAGTGAGACAAATTATAGAGGGCTCATCTTTCCCATAAAGGAATCTGTTTTGTTCTGTTTAATGGTAACCAGAAATAACAATTCTAGCGACTTTTATTAAGAAATATTATTTTTCTTGTTTTGTCACTAGCATGTGACAAAGAAAAATGATACGAATTTCCATACGGAAAGGAAAGGAACCTCAAGTCTTTCTCACTCTTTCTCTTTTTCCCTACCACTGAGCCATATACACTCTGCAGTGAGCCAGGCGTTTACTAGACTAGGAGTTAGGATAAAGAATGTTGAAAACTTTCTGTGAGTAAAAATATTATTTATCTCTCTATAGTAAACGAGTCAACAGTTTAGCAGTTTCCATGGATGGCACACTTTTATTGTCCGGCTCTGAAGATCAGACTGCTCGTGTTTGGCATGTTCGTAGTAGACAGTGTCTCAGAGTTGTCAGCCACAAAGGTAGGGTCAACTCTTTCACTCTCAGAACTGATTCACATGCAACTGTAATTTCCATGCATTATCCAGCAAACAGGTAATGAGAATACTCAAACTTATCAGGTAGAAGTTGTTGTTTTGATCGAACACTAAATTCTCCTCGCTAATTTGCAAAGAAAATGTGTATCAGCTAGAAGGGAGAATATAAAAATGAGATCTTGGGAATTAGAATGTTAAACAATTTCACGTTGTTATACTTAATTCTTTGTGTATAGGTGCAGTCACCAACTCGCAGATAATTCCAAAACCTCTGTACCTCGAGAACCCGCCCCCAAAGTCATCCCTTGCTCCAATCCAGCCTCTAAAACGGCACGTGCATATACCGAATCAATCACGTGAAAAACACGTGGCTAGTCTCGCAGGAACAAGTGACGCAGAATCCAATTCTGACGCTATTTTTATGGCGCTGAGGGGAAAAATAAGCGAGGTATGGACTTGAGACCTGAATTGTAAATTATATCCAGTGATTTAGATGCATTTCGTTACGCCAGCTGTCAGAATTTGAGCTTAACCTCTTTTTTTTCATTTTCAAACAGGAAAATAGTTCACAGCAAAGGAAAAGATTTGGGGAAAATTCGGCGCTACCTCTGCTTACCGAGGTACGACATTTCATACTTCACCCTCCCTTCCCTTCCCATCCCATTCATAATAAATTTTTCCACACAATCTCTGTTCTCTCTGCTGGGAGAGGAGGGGGGAGGGTCCTGAAAATTTGACTTCTTTTTAAACCCAGTCAAGGAGTATGGTGAAACGGTTGCGATAAGTATGTCAAATAAACTTATGCAACCGACTAAATCTCGCATTACTTGTAGAAAAAGTTTCAGCTGAGTCTCGAAAGTAATTCAGGATTGCCTTGGTTTTACTTTACTTTGCGAGAGAATTCAACCCCTTCTCTCACATCAATTGGATGCAAAACGCAACTGAGCCAATCACGAAACGGCCTCTTCTATTCTCAGGCAACCCAAGAAGTTTAACGGATTTTACGTTGAAACCTCGTTGATTACTTGGAAAAGCAAATGGAAACTATTGCGCTTTTCGATTGAATGTCGTGAACCAATAACAGAGTAATCACAAAGGCCAATCATAGGGAAGAAATTAATACCATATGAGAATTCAAATATAAATGAGAAAACTGCTGCTGGCTCGGGAAAACGCCGGTGATAGGTTTTAGTTTTGCATCTGATTGGTTGACAGAGTTGCGCGAGTGTTCTGGACGCGGGAAAAGGCAGGTGACGTCGATGTGACAAGTTTAAGTTTTGCATCTAATTGGTTGACAAAGTGACGCGAGTATAAATTTCAGCAAAACCGATGCAGTCCCAGATTACATTCGACCCTTCATCAGAAATTTCTCGAGTAAGTCAAAAGTTGACTTTAATCCTAGTTTCTCTACTCCCGCAGGTTGCAAAGTTTGAAGGGCAGGGATCTGCGACATCAAGAAAAAGACAGCTTTCACGACGGGAACTCGAAGAAGAATTAGAAAACGTGAAACGAGTTAACAGACATTTTTACAATTTTGCCGTGAAGGAATTGATGGATGAAGTGTACCAAGGAACCGAAAAACGGACAACGTAAGAAAACGAACGTTTGTTGAGATTTCCTCGCTAGAATTTGTGCTTCTGGTTTCTCAAGGAGAATCATACTATCAAGATTGGATCAGCGACTTCTCAATCCTTGTTTCCAGAATTTGAAACTGTCAGAATGAGAACGACTTTCGACCACATAAAAGGTTTATCTTCCTAGTAACATGATGAAAAACATCACCTCGCGACGATGGCATGGCGTTCGTCCGGAAAAAAAAAAACAAGGAAACCGCCTAAAGCGCGGGAAGACGCGCACGACCAAGTCGTGCGGTGTTAGTTCTGCACCTGATTGGTTGTTGGAATGGTGAGAGTTTTCTCGACCAATCAGAGAGCTGAGTAAAGCCATTGAAAATTGCTCTAACGGACTTGCTATCTCGAGTCAAAGAATAGGATTAATAAATATTTAGTTACTTCATGATTAGCCGCGAGGACTTAAGAAATTATTTTCATTTCTTCTTTTGAATGGTCTTTGTTTTTTAGAAACTCGATTAGATTTATTCGAATTACGTAGAGTTGTCAAACACTTGGGTTACTTTTTACTTAATTGAAGTAAGATGAACATTTTCGTGAATTACTGAGAGTAAAGAGCGCACTATAATTTGTCTGATTTAACAAAAAAAAAAAAAACAATAAAAAAGGCGGGGATGATTCCTCAGACGGGCAGGCGTACAAGTTTATCGTCTGTTACATGTAAATTTCTGGTTTTTAAAAACTGAAATTCAAATCTGTAGAAACGTATACCTTTATGCCCTGGAAGGTCCACGGACAAGTTTCATTTTGAGTATGTTTAGCACGTGCACATAGGCACAAGAGCATCCTTTGACGTGCACCTGAACTTGCGCGCGCAGAGGTAAATTGCTCCTTTATTTGGGGCCGTAGTCGTTTTTGTGTTTTTGAAGTAGATTCCTATTTGTCGATTTGAAATATATTGCTCTTCCAGTCGGATAATGTCAATTATGGTGAATACCTAGAATCAACTGCATTATTTTGGCGAGGAATTGAAATGCTAGTATAAATGTGTATTCTAATTATAACCCTAATGGCGCCCAAACATGAGGAAACTCTCGGCTTATTCTCGTTGAATGGTGTACATTAAAAACGCTTATTGCTGACTAAACCTGCGCGGTTATAAGACTTAAATTAAAAAGAGTGAGACCTGTTGCAAAACCAAACAATGGCGGAATTAAAGAAGCTAAGTTTTACTCCAAAATAGTGACGTCAAAAAGGCATTTTAATGACGTCGTCTGTTTGTTTAACGTTTTTATTTACGATGCAGTGGTTTAAAGTTTCCCTTGCTTAATATGGGAGTTACTTGTTCTAGTTTTAAAAGGACATATTCGCGTTATCGAGATGGAATTCTTTCTCGAATGCGGCCCTGCTTGACTTTATCTACGCGTTATCGAGATGGAATTCTTTCCCGAATTTGGCCCTGTTTGACTTTATCCGCTACGCGTTATCGAGATGGAATTCTTTCCCGAATGCGGCCCTGTTTGACTATAGTCAGGAAAAGAGAAAGAAGGAAGAAAGTCGACAGGATTCAAGAGGACAGCAAATCTTGTGAAAAGAAAGAAAGTGACTTCACAAGCAGAGAGGACAAGTGCACAGATGCAAAGCCGTCCGCATGCGCCGAAACCGAAGTACCAAGCGTCCCTTTGATCAAAGAAGTCAAAGTTTTGCCTCCCATTCGCACCAGAACCAGTATAACAGCAGCCGAATACAAGCCCAACCGAGTGTGGGGAGGAAGTGTAGGCTCTTTTTATGACACAATTCGAAGAGAGTCTATCGTTGACAAGGACCTGATAACAGGCGGCAGAAGACAGAGTAGGAGAAGCAGCTCGCTGAGGCCGCATAAACTTGAAAACGAAAGTGGTGGTGGGAAGCATATTGAGTTGGAGGTGCGATTCAAGGCATTGACTGAAACGGAGGAACCGAGTGGCCCAACAGAGAAAGCAGTTATGAAGAAACAAAGACATAGCATTAGAAATAACTCAAAACTTGTAAGTATCAATGATAAAGACAACGTTCCCCTTGTAAAGTGAGTTTAGAGTGCATTTCGATCGAGTGTCGTGAGACCCAAATCAAAGAAGTAACAACATCCAATCATAACAAAGGAAGGTATCACCAGTAGCCAATGAGATATCAAAGTAAAAACACTTATGAATCTGATTGGTTGAAAAAGAGGGGCGACTTTACTGGACCAATCACAGAGCGAAAAAAGAAATTTAAGATTGTACTCGGCCAGGGAGCTCTCAACATGGATTAAGGCACCAAATTTTTCATCTTTAACATTTGGATGTTGAAATTTTCCTAAGTTCTCGTTAACGCATTTTGTCAGCTAACTAAACCTCCTATACTCTTCAACTACATTCCTAAGCTACTTAAAATTTCACTTTTAATTTTTTTTTTTTCACTTTTAATTTTTGCAGTATAGCTTTAAAAGTAATGCTAAGCAGTTGGCAAAACACATTTTTTCAACTCCTTATAAATTGTAATTTTATAAGTGTTGTGGGTTCGTTTGTATATTTTATATTCATCTAGATATTTTGTTGAATCTAGATTGTTTATACAGGCCCCCATTTAAAGAAGCTTTAAGTGGAACTGGGCCAGCCCGTCTAATTAATACCACTAAAAAGATAACTTAATGAGGGTGTCCATGGTAGTAGGCTAACCGATTGTTAAGGTGATTCCTCAGTACTGCATTGCGCATCCTGTACTGCGCATAAAATTCCCATAATCAGGCGAATAAGCGCGCGAGCATTCCGAAAGCAAGGTATTCCTTTTCAATCAATGGACGGGGTAAAAAGGTACAATGGTCTTTAACTCTTGAACGAACAGGGTGACCTTTGTTTTCCATTGCTTAGTTTTGGTGTGCAAATTATCTTTTTAAATTGACGCAAATCATGGTCTTGAAAGCAACAACTCGAGGAACGTTCTGAGCCGATGTCGTTTAAAATTGCGTCATTTTTTTATAAATTACATATCAAATTAATCCATACGTTCGAGACTTTCTACCTATCAAATTTCCTTCAAGCGTTACTTTAAAAACTCCTGCTACCAGCTACAGCAAAATGTACCGCGAGCCGATGAAATGACGCGCGTGAGGGGAAGTGGGAAGTGGGAAGTGGGAAGTGCGAAGAACTTAATGCTTCCCAAGGTGAGAACTGAGACTGCAATGAAGTCTTTATTTTAATGGATCGAAACTTTTTAATGATATTCCTAATGAACTGAAGGATCTTAACTCAGTCATGATTTTTAAAACTCGTATTTTAGAATTCTATAGATCACAAGCTTTTTAATTACTTTTAAAGTTGGTGACTATATTTAGAGTTTTTTGTTTATTGTTGCATCCGTGACAAGCAAAGAAATCACTCAAATTAACGGCGAAGCAGTCCCTGAAAACACAAAGAAAGCGACTAAATTTGGTTTGGCCGTGTTTAAAGGTAATGCTTTAAGTTTTTAACCCAGAGTTTATCGATTAAAATCGATGAGAAAGGTTTTGTTTACAAATGCAAATTAATCTTGCGTAACCCCACTTGTTCACTTCCACGCGTGAAAATGTTGGACTTGTTGCTGGAATGTATGAATTAAAATCAATTTTTGGTGGTGTATATTATCTCACTGTTTTAGTATATACACCACTTTCATAAGTGGCTGCCGGATTGATATTCTTTTGTTTAAATTCAAATTAGCCTCACTGGCCTCTCTTGAGATAATACATTCTTTTGAATTTTGAACTGGAGAACAAGGCCAGAAAGGCTAATTTAAATTTAAACAAAAGAATATCAATCCGGCAGCCATTTATGAAAGTGGTCAATACTAAAACAACTATTCACCTCAGTGTCGGTGGTTAGTGGTGGATATTTACCTCGCCACTTCGCGGCTCGGTAAATATCCACCCCTTACCACCTCCACTTCGGTGAATAGTTGTCAATTATTATTAGCGCAAGTACAGGTATAAATGGGGCGAGATTGGCCCATGATATCTCATACACAAGCACGGTGAACTGTCTTATTAATTTTATTTTTCGAAACAGACATTGATAGAGAACATTTAAGAAAAGATTTAAAAAAAATTGTTCCATTAACTTTTTTTTCGGAGGAATTACCCTAAGAACCCCTGAAAAAAATTATATTTGATTCGTTGCCACGGTGATTCTGCCGCTTACGTATCTCGGGCGGGCCTTTAATCGAGAGACTCTTAAAAAACTTCGTGGCTCGGTTATGTCGGCTGTATTGTGAGAAATTGAGGGAATTAAATTGTGAAATCTATGACCCTGTGAGCGAAAAATTGGCTGTTCTGACGTTTGAGGACACCGGTGGTCTCACATGCCAGGTCACTGATTTAGTTGTTTACCCGTAGTGACACCTGAAAACAGCTCAAAAGTTTGACTCGTCGATCTATGAATACCTTTTTTCTTTTCAGGTTCCAATTTCTTCATCGGACTGAAGCAAATGCAGTCAAACGACCCAAAGTCTGCTGTAGTTTATGTTGTAATTTAGTCGCTTCTTTGATTTGCTTGGATGGAGTTTGGTGGAACCAAACGAACCGCAGTTGATATTTAACAAATACGTGCCATCTAAACACGATTTCAAATCTCAAGCATAAATTAATCACCATATGTAATAAAACGCATCATTGCGATTCTTGTAATAAATTGTTGTCACCAGTCCCTCGCTAGTTTATCATTAAGAACGCGTTGGTGTTGTATTGCAGCTATGCTTATGACAACCAGTACTTTTTTTTTTTACTCGTCACAAATTGACCAAAATGGTTGAAGTCGTCAAGGGTTAACTTATACAGAAAGAGATTTGAAGGAAACGAAAATTTATTTGAGTTAGGGGGAGGTACGAATTATCGTAGTTTCGAGTCATGGAGGGTAGAATTGCGGTATACAACTAATTGGATTGACGGTGTCACGGGGAAAAAAAAAAGGAAAATAAAAAGGAAATAGCCAAATAGGAATTAAAAAGCATATGAAACTACACTCTGGTTTTATGCATAAATATGCACGCCCGACCCCGGAAACATTTTCGCAAAATATAATTTCAACAAAAAGTATGTCAAACTTCTTCAGGGAATCTGATGTTTTTTCAAGCGATGCCAAAAAAATAAAAATATATGAAAATTTGTTCGAGCCGTAGGCTTATGCTTTATGCTAGTAAACTCGAGTTTGGCTTTTTACCTTTTCCTTGTCGGCGCTGCACTCTACGAGTTTTTTCTTCCATGTTTTCTCTACGAAAAGTGCACGCGAGAGGTCTGGCTACCAGACTTGTTCAATTGTCCTCCGTAACAGTGGAAGCTTGTTCATTGGGTGGGTCTTCTCTAAAGTTTGTGATAGGAAGTCTATCACGGGACAGAAACGCCAAAAAGATGATGGAGATGAACATGTTGAAGCTCATAATCGCGAGAAAGAGATTTCTTTCTATCTGATCAGCCAGAAGCAAGACAAACGAAACTGGAGTACTTAAGAAAACTCGATAACAAACTGACGCTGCAGCGAAGGGACGATTCAGATTATTGGCGCAAAGCACGTGGTACAGTCCGTGTATGGAAATCAGATAAAGGAACGCTGCTAGATAGCCATTAGCGAATCCATCAAAATCATCAAAAACAAACATTTTATGAGCAAAATCGGGTCTTACCGCTATCACGTACCCGAAGATTGTTTGAATGAGGCCCACAAAAAACATGGCTCTGATGGTTCCTCCCGTTTTCACCCCGTGGTATTCTTGAAATGGCGCCAGGAGCTCTTTAAAGAAGACTTTTAGTGAGGAACCTCCCCTATCCCGGCACCATATAAACAGGGTGCTCAGAGAAAGCAACGCATCCAAGCCCATGAAAACCAATGCAAATGTGAAAGGGACCATATTTCTGAGGATGAACATGAGCCCCGTAGCTGGCACCCAAACAAGGCGGCTTACGACAGAAGCCAAAATGGTTCCATAGCGATGTACTCTTACAGTGGAACGTGCCAGGATTATGAACAGAAATCCAATTTCTACAACCCCAAGGCCGATTAGGCGAACGTAGCCTTCGGAGCGACCGGTGTATTCTATTTGCAATATGATGCCATAAAGCTCGGGTACAGCCAGAAAGGTGAGGCCGCCTAAGCAATAGACTACGAAAGATGACCACTGAACAAACTTCTCCGTCGTACTCATTGGCTCGTGACGAGGAATGGAAAGCATAAACTTCAACCAGTCGCGTAACATCCTCAGGAAATTTTGCGACAGACACCTGCCCATGAATTATGATTGTGATCAGAATGTATACATAACAATTAGAAGCCCCTCTTTCTCATGCAATTTCTTATAACCCTTAAATGGAAAATAAATGAGAAATGTGGTTTACTTCATCCCCTCCAAGAAAAGTGCACAATAAACGATTAAAAGTCGTTGTAACTGGCGAAAAGTTGCAAAGTACCCTTTTTGAATTTAAATGAAAATTAATTCGATGGATTTCAAATGTCTCAAGAAAAGCAACAAAATAATGGAAAGAAATCAAAGCCATAATTTATGACAAGCAATCGATGCATTTAGTTATAGACCCTTAGCCCGTAAATCTTACATTTCGAAAAAGTTGTATGTTTTCGTTACGTTACAGAACCAAAAAACGGAGAGAAAAAGAGAAAATAAATGACAGAGAAAGGAACAAAAATAACAATCCTGATATTAACCCTAACAGATTTTGTAGGACTGCTCCTTAGATGATTAATTTCTTTTCATCTCCCATCTTTCATATTCCATTGGAAAATAAATTCACTGAACTCTTGAGTTAATCTTGGAGACGTAATCAAGCTGCGCTTTTCTTCTGCTTAAATTATTTTCCTGATTCTTTGATTTCTTCAATATATCGACAAGAATATCAGAAGACTTTTCTTTACTCACCTCAAAGACGGAGCGCTCTCGGCAAACTAATAGCCACCGTTTGATTAATGTACTCATCTATATGTTAATATACTTCCTTGACAAGATGGTGATCAATTCAACATTTGTAAAAGTGCTTGAGATTTCTTGCTCTAATTATAAAGAGGACTTCCATACGTAAAAATAGAGGCCAGGTATGGAAGTTCTCTGGAGGTCAGCGCAGATGTAAGTCAGAATCATGATATGAAAAAATAAACTATGTTTATGAAAAGCTATGTTGTTATCTTTCTGGACTCCAATTAGACCAATTAAACGTTCGCGTGATTGTTCAGACTTTTTTCATTAGCAACTTTGGACAGCTGTTTCGGCATTGTTTTTGATGCGTGTGGCGTAAGTTACGATACCTGAAATTTCAAAATTTTTCCGAGTCCAATTACGGCGAAATGAAAAACAATGTAATATTGGTGAGCATACGGGAGATACGAAGAGATATGCACTCGTGCGAGCTCGTGCGATTGCTCTGGCAAGCATTACGTGTAATGACGCGGGAAACTGGGCCGAATAAGTATGTCACGCTTCAAACCATCACACAACGTTGTTGTGTATTGTTGGCAGGAAACACTGTAGTGTTAGTTTCGAAACTGTTGTAACTCAGCTGAATCGGCCGTTTTAGGCCTGTTACTATATCATAAGTGGCAAGAAAAGGAATAATTCCGTCACCATGGTGCTATTTTTGTTCTGAAAAGCATTTTAGGACACAATTGTCTGATTATTTCACGTATTACAAACAACCAACATGGCGGTCTTTAGGACGTGCCTGCGTTGTGCTCTGCAAGGAATACTCCTTTTTGTCAACTTTGCCGGCCCAATGGGTGAGTATTTAGCGTGGAAATATTTTGGTTCCTGCAACTGATCTTAATCTATACTTAAAAGCTGAATATTTAAACATTTTCTCGTCCAGATGGTATCTCTATAGAACCGAATTAAGAAACGGAAATATCGATCGTTGCTTTGTACGAAATCGCAGTTTATCGATGTCTAAAAATATGTGATCTAATGTATTTTACACTATTACGTTATTAAAGCGGTATGAAGTGTTATTGGAATGGAGATAAAAGTTATTAACGGTCTCGTAACTTTTACAAGTTGCTCTAATATCAACGCAGTCTCTTTTGTACGTAAACGTCACGTGAGAGGTGATCTAACTGTTTACAAATTCGTTCGAATATAACATATCGTGGGTTCGTTTGCAGAATTTAATATATGTTTATGTTATTTATTCATGGACACGTTTCGACTTTTTGTCGCCCCAAAGAAGTCGACCTCATCGCCATTTCATAAACGACATAATTCACCAATTATTATTTGACAAAAGCGTGGTTAGCTTCGCCAATTTACTTGCCAACTACAAAGAAAAAAACGACCAAAGTATTTGTATTGAAGGTTTAGAATTGCGTGTGTGAACCAAACCCTATTTCTGATAAACCTTTTTAGTTCAAAAATGTGGCGGGGGTAAAGGCGATATTGTAAGTAACTTTACCTTGTATTTTTGGCAAACACTTTTAAACTGTATATTAAGATCAGTTGAACTTTCATAGAAATCTTTCATATTAAACTTCGATTGCTCGCGTGGAAACGAAATTGTCTCGGTAAATGTCACGTCCATAATTTCTTGGAGAGCTATTTCGTGTTAATGTTTTACCGGCTAAATTTGAAGATGATTATTGTTAATTCAACAATAAAAACAATTTTTTGTGTATGCTCTCTAGTTTTTACCCTGCGAACAGAGCCTTTTGTTCTTTTCTTCTTCTTTTCTACGGGTTAGAAAGGCTCTGCTCGCAGGGTATCTAGTTATGAAAAATGATGGATAAATTGATCAAATTGTGATATTTCAAGAAGAAAGAGCCGAGCCAATTAGAAATGACGAATGTTTCCTTGTACCTTTGAAAGAACTGTTGAACTGTAATTCACGAGTTTATACGTTTACTTAAATGAAATCTTTGGGCTTATCTGATTACAAATGTAGAGTAGTTAATCGGCCATTTCGTTAAAGTTTACATCATTTTATTATTTTAGTAGCCAGCGAGCAGGCACTCGTGATAACATCTTCAACACTGGTGTTCCTTCTCTCGCGGTAAAGTGCAGAGCCTTGAGCAACCAGAGCGGGGTCTGAAACTAGTCTACCATACGGTGGCCCAAAACTGAGTGCCACGGCAATTTCAATTTGATCACGGCAATTTCAGTTTAACCACTGCAATTTCAATTTGACCACGGCAACTTCAAGTTAACCACGGAAATTTCAATTTGATCACGGCAACTTCAATTTAACCACGGCAATTTCAATTTGACCATGGCAATTTCAATTTGATCCCGGCAACTTTACTTTCACCACGGCAATTTTCAATTTTTGAGCACGGCAATTTCAATTTGATTCACGGCTCAAGTTGTCTCGCGACACAGTCAGCGGAATTACAAATATCCCCTATGGGAATATAATCTCTACGGGACTCCAACAAACAGGAAATTTACCTGTTCATTCAACAAGCTAACAATTTTCATCTTACAATCACATTTACGGCTGAAATTTCAGAGAACGAAAACACATTCCTCGACACCATTATTTATAAAGGAGATCGATTCAGGAATGAATCTATCCTAGACATGCGTACTCATTACAAACCGACTGAAACTTTTCAGTACACACATTTCACCTGGTGCCACCGACCGCCAGGGCGTAAAACGAGGTTTTATTAAAAGGGAAGCCCTTCGACTTCTGAGAACAAACTCTTCTGAAACAGCGTTCGAAGACAACCTTTCAAAATTTAAATCGCGCTTTATCACGCGCGGATACCCTGACAGAAATTGCAGCAGTTAGCATTGCCACAAGACAGTCGGCCCTTCGAGTCTACCCGGAAAACCTCTCCCCGACTCTTCTCAAATCTTCGCGGGGGGGCGGAGAAACGAGCGTCTTGTAGCACTAATAATATATTTAAGTATTTGAATAGCGGAAAGGCCTGGTGGCTAATTAACTTCTTTGGCTTGAAGGATTAATTCAAGATATGAATCTGACCCGTCAGGAAATCACGACCACTATTGGTGAACCAGCCAACCTTGGTTGCTATGTCGACCAGACGAACACAACGCATTTGACCTTTTCTTGGACGAAAGATAATAAGACTGTCACGCAATCCTCAATCATACAAGTCTATAGAAACGTAGTGGTGGTAACCCCCAAGGATGATGCAGACTTTGGAACTTACGAGTGTCACGTTAGCGATAACGTGACAATAACGACATGCAGTATCTCACTGAAGCAGGGGTGTAATGACAGCAGTAAGTGGTGTTCCAAATTAGAAGTTTAACAAACATTGCAGAAGGTGAAATGTTTAAAAATGACTCACATCACCGTTTGAGGTGATTCCTCAGTATTCCACTGCGCATCCTGTAATGCGCGACAGAGCTGAATAACTAATGCGCACGCGCCAGGTTTTGGCGCGGAAAACGGTTTTCGAGTCGTTTGCATGGTTGATTTCCTATTGTGTTGCTTCGTGGCGTTGTCTTCCTTGCCGCTTTTCTTTTACAGAACAACCTCCAAAAACTTTGCACACCCCCCTTAATATTTTCGAAAATTAATTTTCTCCTTAAAAACTTTGGAATTAGGAAAATGCCTTCGAAGAAAACAAAATGGCTCGGATTTAATTGCCAGCCCCTTGTTTTCCGTGAATTTCGCTAAATTTTAAACCTCGCACGCTTGAGCCCGTGTTGTTGACTTCATACCTTTGACATAGCAGTTTATCATTCAGCTCTGTCGTATCAGGTGAATAAGCAGGCTCCCATTCAGAGAACATGGTATCATTTTTCAATCAATGGACGAGTCAAACGAGTGCGATGGTCTTTTGCTCTTGAACGAGCATGGTGACCTTTGTTTTCTGTCATAATTTTGGTGTACAAATTATCACCTTCAAATTGAAGAAATTAAAATTCCCCTCATCGAGGGGAAAAAAGATACGACTAGAAGCGTGCACGAAGCCCGTTACTGAATAAATTATTTACAATATAATGTAATACAAAAGCGGGTACTAATTACAAAATGTACCGTGAACCAATGAAATGGCGCGCGGGATTAGTGCTAATAACAGGCGTAAATGGAGCCTGTACACGACCACATCAGCTCCGCTGTAATTTTTGTCGTGTTTAAATTATGTTGTTGTTGCTGTAAGTTTGGCCCAGCATATCTCTTAAACAAGTACGGTGACGTATCTTTTTTTTTGCATTTTTCGAAACAGAAATTGGTAGAGAACATTTAACGAAAGTGAAATAAAATTGTTCGATAACTGTTTTTTCTGAGGAATCGCCTTAAGCTTTTTTACACGCGATGAAGTTGTTTTTGAGGCAGATACCTTTCTGCGTTTCTTTGGATGATGCTAGGAAGGCGTATATTTATTGCAATCTTTAGGGAAGGGTGCAGATCCAGCGAAGGTTACACAACACAATGACCCTGGCCAAGGCTAGAACCGAGGTCGCCACGTCTCTCGGTGTTTTACATGTGACCATGATTAGCTTACCGTATTTATTCGATTAAGCATCCAACCTGAAAAAAGCGACCACTTCGGATAAGCGCCCACCCAGTAAGTTTGAAATTTAGTAGGCGTCCAGCCTTGAATAAGCGCTTGTGAGGAAAAAGAACAAGAAAGAAAAAACGTTTGTTACGTTATAAGCTATAGAAACTCAAACTCTTGATGCGAGCCGGCATCAAATGGGAACAAATTGAGCAATCCCGAAGGGACAATCCAAGGGGGGCAAGATGAATCCCCTTTCTACTGCTTGCTAGCCAATCAGAAACAAGGTTCGCCCCACGTGGCCCGTCAGCGAATAGAAGTCGCTGACATTTCTAAGAACTCGAGAAGGATAAGTCTTGCTCCATTGTCTTTAGTCTTGTTTTTGTTTTAACTTTTTTTTATCATGTTGTAGACCATGTGGAGGAAACTGCTTCTGGTTGTGGGATTATTGCAGTGCTGATGCCGGTTTTGGCAGTGACTGTGGTTTCCATGCTACTAAATGCTCATTTTCTAATTCGTTGGAAGCGAAGGGATGAGTGGGCGTGGTCAGAGCAGGAGATAATGCACCCTCAACTCTCCCAACAGTCTGAACCAGTGGAACAGAAATTTGAAGAACACGTTGAAGTGAAGAAAAAGAAGCCTTTCGAAGAGCGATTTAGAAAAAATCGCCGACGAGATGACTCTGAAAATGACCAACATATTAAAGAAAAAGACAAAAACCATACAGCACAAGAGAAAAACTGTCAGGAACCCATTGAAATGCAGGAAATTTGTGATATCCCGAGCGTGCCGGACGTCAGAGCAGCCAACGAAACAATGGTGGAGACCGCGAATGCTTCTTCAGACATAAACCACATCCCAGTTGACACGGATAATACTCCAAGGATTGCAGATTTCTTTGTTCCTGATGAGGAAGTGAATGATGAGATTGCGCCTGTCCTGTCAGATCCTAACCGCATCCCAGTTGATGCGGAGGAGACACCAAGGTTTGCAGATTTATTCGTCCCTGGTGACGAAACAGATGGTGATGCAAGTGGACGAGAGAGCCTGGACTCTGAAATGCCACTTGTCAGTCACTATATGGAGAAGATGGATTTTGAAGAGAAAGGAGACACCGACGATGAACCGGTTTTGAATTGATGAAACCGGTTTGGGTGCTCTATCAGGTAAAGTAGACAAATCACGAAACGATCGTTTGAACGGACACAGCGGTCAAACGTCTGCGCATATGTAAATGTTGAACGCGCAGAGAGACGCCGTCACGCACCATATGATTGATAACAAAAATTAGTAATTAACAACGCCGGCAATTCGAACATGTCATGTTGGTTAAAAAAAATGCAATATGTTGTAACTCTCAAAACAAAATGAAACACAATCGTAATACTCGCAACTAGATGAAGTCTTGTATGAAAGCGGCCCTCGCGGTAACGAACACTACTCATGTATGAAGGTGTAGTCTGATCGTCCGGGTGAGTGTAGTCCTGAGAAGGACTGTTGTCGGTGGCAGTGACTGACGTTTCGACAACCTGTGCGGAAGTCATCATCAGAGTCAAGTGAATGATTGTTGTCATGATGATGACTTCCGCACAGTTTGTCGAAACGTCAGTCACTTCCACCGACAACAGTCCTTCTCAGGACTACACTCACCCGGACGATCAGACCTCACCTTCACATGTTACCCCCGGGTTTAAGCCATTTACTGCACTACTTATGTAGTAGTGAAAATAAGGCCCGAAAAAAACATCAAGGACTTGTTTTCACAACTAAGTGGATAGCGTTCATCACTGCGAGGATCGCGTTCACACATTTCTGAAACTGCACTACACATCTATGATTTTCATCTATTCAAATTCTTAGATGAAGTATGTTTGTGAAAGTTTTCCTTTTTCCTAGTTATGTTTCCTTTTAAAGATTTGTGTTAGCGGGTGAATTTTTTTATGTATTTATTATAATCTTGCGTGACATCGGTTGGTTATAAAGGTTTCTTTAAAATTTTTGCGCAGGAAATTAGCACGTGGCTCGCGTGAATAGCCCATTTCCGAATTACCCTTGGCCTCAATTTCAAAACGAGTCCTGGTGCTCATTTTTTTCATATGATAACACGTTTTCATTCACATGCAAATTAAACTCATTTTCACAACAATGGTTGAGCACCAGGCCTCGTTTTGAAAAAGAGGCCAAGGGTAATTCGGAAATGGGCTATTGCGCTGTTTGCACGACTTGCTCAACGATTAGCCATAGTGTGGTTTGAAAAAACGTCACCAGGAAGGAACTACGACTCGAGCTTTAGGGTCATTTTTGGCTCCATTAATAATTACCTTTGAACAAAAAAGACCTTAAGATAACGGATTGGTGGGGTTTAAAAAAAAAAAAAACACCAGACAGGTGAGAACTAACGAAACACAATTAGGAAAGCCATGAAAGGATAAAGGATATTTATACGAATTGCACAGGGAGCTCGAAATTAGTCGAGGGGTAGTACACCCTCGTTGATTTTAAATTTGTTGTTTTGTTGGGCAGTTAACTTTTCAGGATGGAAAAGCTTTTCATTTTAACTTTCATTTAATCCCATTTTTTACTCTTCAGAAATTTGTTCGTGATCCAATATTCTGCGCAGATGCAGGAAAACACATCATTATCCAACTACACTACGTAGGGTACAAGTAACGCGCGAATCGAGTATACATATTCTGCGATCTTGGACAGTTCTTTATTATGTACTTTTTAAAAAAACCTGTTCAAACGGTCAGCTGCATGTGTTACGCTTCTGTTACTGCTTTGCTATTCCCACTTTTTAAGAAATACGCATGAAATTATAGCAGTTGGATAACAAATAACTTATCAGACGTTTTGGTGTGTAGTATCGCTGACCAGTTTTACTCACTGTACATATTTTGACTCGTCCTGCGGGCTCGTCAAAATACGGCACAACTCGTAAAAATAACAGCCATACTACACACCAGAACGTCTAAGTAGATATATATTTTCTTCACCATAATTTCGAGTGAAAGTTTTTGAAGAAAACGCTCTCGGATACCATTTAAAAACAACCTATGACAATATCTTTCATACCCATTTTGTAGAAGAAAAATATGGATAACTTATATTTGTACAAGAAATTTTTGAAACAATAATATATACATATCACTAGGGAAGCATTTTACCAGAGCCCAGTCTTAACCCACGAGAAAAGATCTTGACTCATCATCTACTGACAGTATTATATTGAAGTGATCTTAAATTAAAGAAGAGTGGAATTTTAGATATATGATTGAAGGCTGTTTCCTCTTGATTTTTATCGTTCAGGAACAGAATCTCAAAATAGTGACGGGAAGGGAGGAAGAGGGGAAATGCTTAGTTTCACAAACCCTAGGGATCCCCTGTGAAGTAAGAGATCTAAAAAGTAACAATAATCTAGTGAGGTTGAAGTAGACGTATGCTGCGGTCAACACCTGATTTACGTCTCCGCCATTAGAAAGGATGCTTAAAGTTATGTCGCTTTCCAACATTTGGAGTTTCTAAAGATTGACATAACCTTGCAAACGTACTAACTAGTCAATCGCGGACGCCGCCATTTTGGAATCCTGCTCAGTGTCCTAGCCAGTCGCCCTTTACGTACTGAAAGTCTCACCCCTCGTTTTACATCTCTTGTCAGTCTTCTTGAGCAATTAGGAACCTTATGATATGAAATTCCTGAATGAATTAGTGTAACAGGTGTTTTGACCAGCTCGTTGACTGAGCTGCATGCGTGTGGGGCCAGGCTACGGAGCTATTTTCAAAATTACGGCGTCCCTACCTCAGACAAACTTTTAATAGTTAGTTTACTCCGCAGCCTTAAAAGGCACTATGATTAATGGTGGCGATGAAAAAATAGTGTTTTCTAGAGCATACTTCTTCCTCTACGGCCTATTTAAGGAATCAGTCTATTGTCAAGCCGTTCTGTGTTTTCTCATACAGGAAGCGTTACGCAATTCGTTATCTCTGCACTGCCGAAAGTAGTTATCTTGGTCAATATCATGACTTAGCAACTTCCCATCTTGGCAACTGTCAAGTGCGGACCTCTTCATCCGGAATCCACCATGCCGAGCGTTAAGTTTTGTGGTACGAATGGCCAGGTATATCTCTGCTTTGATCTTGTATCAAAATTGATTCAACATTTATGGTCGGGTTTCTGCATTTTTCTTTCAAAAATGAAGTTTGATTTCAAGGCCTACATAGTGAAAGTCTTCCAGGTCAAAATTGAGTGACAGTGCTTTCTTGGACGCCTTCATTTTCGTCCATCCGTGAGACACTGCCATTGACGTGCAACTCGACGGGTTCTTCGATAACACAGCTTCCCTCGCGCATCCGCGTATGCTCGTGACTATGAAGACTGCTATTCTCACTTTTCTTGGACATTACGTCATCGTGTGATCGCCTCCTCGCGCCTTGTACAACAAGATGAATAAACAGGAGAAGTGCAAAGACTGCAACTGCCAGAACGGGCATCAGGACTGAAACATTTACACAGCCAGTGGTGGGATCACCTTTTAATTAATTTAAAATGCTCTAATTAGTGAAATGAAAGTTTGCAGTTAGACGCACAGAACCGGGTGCTTTTAATCCAGATTTTAGTTGCATTTAGAGCCTACAACCTTAGAAACACGTATAAGATAGCGAAGAAAAGTTTCAGTTTGATTGAATGTTGAAAACCAATTGTAACGGCCAATCAAAACGATGATTCACTTCATTGTTGGCCAATGAGAATTCACAGGAAAACCAGGCAAACTACAAAAAGCGCGAGAGAATGAACGCGGATAACCTAATCATGATTGGTTTTCGTTTTGCGTCTGATTGGCTGAGAGGATGACGGGAGTTTCTGGACCAATCACATAGCAAAACCAATGTCATCTCGTTTCATCTTCGACTTTCAATTGAAAATTGCTCTCTTTCGCACACTAAACGCTCTCTTCATGCGGACGAAACACCAAAAATTTTAAGAAAAAGTTAGGGGAACAGACATTAATTTCGGTGGCGAGATAGGAGTTTGTTGGGACTGATTCTTGTTATGATTTTTGTTGTCATTGTTGTTGTTTTTCTCATGTCAGACAATTTTGAAACTTTTACAACTAAAGATAACAACAAATCGAAAACAACAAGAAAAAAAAAACAAAGACAACAGAAATATTTTTTCTGAGCAGGTCATGTCAACAATTTTAAAATCACCGATATCATCTTGAATGAGATGATAGTCTGGTACGTCCAACGCGACGGTGCAATTGCTCTCCTAAGTGGAGAGGGGCATTGTTAGAATGAAACATATTTTTTAAGCCTTGTACGTTTTAAACTGTCTCTTTCCGTAGCCCTTACAACATCCATACCAGCTTTTCGCATTCTAGTTATTGTCGACAGCTAGATTCTGTATAAACGTAGACAATACACAGAGCATCTAGAAAATACTAAGTGGACATGAACAGCTGTTTTTTTTTGTTTTTTTTTTGTTTTGTTTTTTTTTTTCAGTTCCTCCCCCAATCACATCAGGCCTGTTTAATTTTCTTCCGACAATTTATGTTATTCTTTATACTTACCCGGCGCACCCATTCCTTGCACCAACGAGATCCTACACAGAGCGCTGGACATTCCGTTTGTAACGTTACACTCGTAAGTTCCAAAATCAGTATCTTTCTCTGGGGTTACAACCAGGACGCCATCAAATGCTTGAACATTTGGAGATTGCGAGGCAGTTTGGTTGTCTTTTGTCCAATAGTACTCCAGTGTAGAGCTGGCTGAGTCTGTTTCTGCATAGCAACCAAGGTTCACCGGCTGTCTGAGAAATGTTATGACTTCCTGTCGTGTAAGGTTCACGTCGAGTTCCAGCGCTTCTGGTTGAAAAAGTTACAGAAAACGGTTGAGCTATGAATTCACGTGAAACTACGAAAAACGTTTAAATAGTTCCGCAATTCCGTTGGTAATAAGGCTCAATTGAACTTGCGTGACATGGGTTCAAGTGTCACGGAGGCTTGATTTTTCTTTCAAGTTTCTCTTGCTCCGATTTTTTTCGTGAATAGCAGTGTTTTCCTTGAGGACCAACTCGTCACTTATCATCTTCAGGTCAATATGATTTATTCTGATATTATAAGGGATAAAACTGTTAACTTTGAAGTATACAAGCTGTCGCACCAATTCAAACCCCAGAGACGGTCTAATTAACGAACCGTGTTTTGTTCAAAACGTGCATTTTTACCCACTGAATGCCGGTATGTTTGGTAATAGCATTGAAATCGTTTAAGGAAACCTTAGTCTCTCGGAACAAAGTAAAAGAGAGCAATATGCTTCATGGGACAGTTTTCTCTTTTGACGGCCGTGTTTGATCAACACCCACGATTATTTAAAAATTATTTTAAGTTATGAGTTATTCATACTTCATCATATCACTTAATAAACATTTGAATCGTGACCAAGATTACGTAGTCTTCCAATTTTGTATGCATGAGCCAATCACGAAACTCCTCTAATGCTGCAAGTATCTTAACGGTTTTTGCAAATAGATGATGATTATTTTGGTAAATGACAAATCATTCTATCGCGGTACAGGGCTCAATAATTTCGCATATATAAACTTTTGTAGGCTGGCAAATATACATTTATAATACTAAAACCGTCTGTAACCGCTAATGTAGCTAAACCGTCGACGTTCTGTCTAAAACTTGCCCACAAATGAACCCACTGCGCACTGGTTGTGGCATTTTATACACTAAGTATTTTCTTTTGTGCTAAAAAAAATTGAAAAATATTAGACTAATAGCTTTTGTTTTTTGTCATGGATTCTTCAAAATTTTACTTTATCTCTGTTATGTTGTGTGCCTTAGAAAAGCCATTAAAATCGAGATACAAATCATTTTAAGGTTAACCCTGCGAGGTTTTGGGTTCTTTAAAGAAAACTGGCATTCAATATTATGCAGTATTGACTTGGCTGGTCAATACTGAGAAATTCTTGTAAACATCAGCTCTAAAACATCTGTCTAACACAAAAACAGCATCTTGTATACACGTTTTACCAAACTTGTGGCTTTCTTTCATAATAAGTTGTTGAAAAGACAAATTTTCATTTAATCTGCTTAATAATCATGCACGAACATTGAATATCGTCCATATTAAGAGAACAAAACGCCCTTTAATTTATGTTGCAAAATTTCAAATCCCTTTAGTTGTTATTGAACAAATTATGCCCGAGAAAAAGCCGACTAACTTTTTTTCTTCTTCTTTTGCGATCATGTTCATTAAGTTGCGTTTGTGGTTTTCCCTTTTCAAGGGATGTCGCTTTAAGTACTCTAAGAATAGTCATTATTTTTTGTGTGAGACTATACCTTTCTGGTGGAAGACTAACTAAGAGCCGAAATTAATCTTAACTTGTTTACTGAAATCAGCCAATTACAATTATTCAACAATAAACGAAGGATATTTTGCTGAAGTTTGAATAAAGCTCCGGCTGGAACGCAGATAAAACGAGAAGTCACACACTATCGACAGTTAAAATATTCTACACGCGCGAGCAAGAATTCATAAGCATCCTCAGCTTTCATGTGAATAAATTCTTGACTATTTCTCTTTAAATTTTGCTTTATGCTGTTATTTAGAGGTTGTTATCTTTTAAAGCTTTGTTTTCAATGTTTAGATTGTGTGTTCACAACTGATAAAGACGTTACTTATTTGTCAATAGTGTTAGACAAAGAAAACTACTGGTGACGATTCGAATTCAAAACAGTTCTGAATTCGCGTTTCTGATGCTTTACCAATAAAGCTGCAGGGAATCTTTTAACGAGCCATTCTAACGTTTGATTTGGTTTTATCAACTGAGTTCGTAATACAAATTGGCCACCGTAAAAAGTTTCAAAAGCTGACGGTTCGAGCACTGGCTCTTTGTTCGTATATTCGCTCTAATGAGGGGCTAAATCTCGAAGCGTTAGCTTTACAAACTTTTTCCGGTGACCAATTTACTTTATCAACTGAGTTAATAAAACCAAATTATCTTGTAATAACCCCAACCGACGCAGTACCACAGTTTCTTAAGAAACTTACCCGGCTCCTTTTTCCGAAGTTTGTGTGAGAAGAATTAACATGGATACGTAAAATGGCTTATCTCAAACAAGTCAACTTCGCAAAAAATAGAACGATCGATATAATACTTACCATTGCACACAGTAGATAGGACCAGTAAAAACACCACTTTCAATCCACACGCACGACAAAACCAAGCTACAAAACTCGCCATTATGGTTTTCTCTCCTTTCAATCGATAAAAGAAGTTTTACTCGACAGGAAACAAGCAACTAGCTACGGAGGTCATAAGGCGTAGAATAGTTTCTCGATATTTTTTTATATTGAGGCAAGGACTTGTCCGATGACAACTCGTTTCGCTAATAGGAGCAACGAGACTGGACTCTAAAATGCCTAATTATTTCATAATGATTGTATACAGTCGATATAAACGAGCGTCTGAGCGAGATATTCGGATATGTTCTTCAAAACGGCCGCACCTTTGCGGTTTCACTGCGTAAAAATCGTATATTTCAACGCTTCTTCGGGTGGTTTAAATATTTTGGGTCCAATGATCAAATTCGGCCACAGATCATTCTTGAATTTTTGTGGCCAACACTTGCAGGCGTTTGATTTTCTTCAGTCGAAGCGTGACAATATTACGTGATTATGGAATTGCATCTTAATACATAATTAACTGCCCGTCATTTCTGAGACTTGTCACCGTATTGATGTGATTATGTTGGTTTACTAATCGATTAGCCAATAAAATGCTTTGTTTAGTTCGAGTGGCGAGCATGTTTCAGTTAAATTGGTAGCTTTTGGAAAAGCTTAAATAAACAGAAATTCAAATGAGTTACCATGTAAGGCTTCTTTCGATTGTGCGAAGTGCTTTTGCTTTAGCAGTGCAATGCTTTTTTTATTTCTCGATAAACAATTAAAAGCTCTCTTGCAGGGGCTCCAATATAAAACGATCACAATATTATTAGGTCAATAGGACGCATAAACTTTGGTTTGTTGCACGTTTCTGGGTCTTTCTAAATAACTGCTAAGGCGAAAACCAGAAGAAAAGCGACGAAGCATTTGTGAGGAGAACACAAGCTCGATAGCTTGCCATTACCTGACAGTTTTTCATATGCCGGAGGGTTAAAAATGTTTGCAAGAGGATTCAAGGAAAATGAGGTGATGCGTGTAATTTCATTTTGTCAATTAGCAGACTCGTGAAAAACGTTATTTGTTACACAGACGGGTTTTATAAAACTAAGATCTAAGGAAAGGATGGGGGATTTAAGTGAAGTTAGAGATCGTAGATCGAATAATGTTATGTTTTTATAGTCCAAAACTTACCACTGCGTAATTAACCAAAGTTCAGAGAAAAATTTTAAAAATTTTCCAAACTTTGAAAACTGTTTTAACTGATTCAACTTCACCATCATTTTGTAATTATTTATCTTTCACACTAAACTATTAAAAGAGACAACCGCATTTAGGACTGAAATTTTCGATTTTTCATAACTATTTTTACAATATTGATAAGAAAAGAGATAGATACTGTAGGAGCCGGTTTGCTTAGAATTCAAATATCTCAATCAAGAAAAAAAATACACGTACATGTCAAGAGTATTCACCCTCTTCTCCGAGTGACGAGGCTGAAATTATTGACAATTCGATTCATAAACAGGATTTTGATATTTGAAATTGATCGACTTCCATCATAATCATTTCCGGTCATCATGTTGAACTGCGTCAATGGTTTTTCCTTTCTTCAAAGTATTTCGAGTGGTGTTATATCTAAAATACAATTATAATTTTAGTTTTTGTCATTCATTATTACATTACGCATCCTAATCGCGCATAACGACACAGAGGCAAAATGAATGCACATGCTTTAATCAAAGACTGAAAATAACAACAGAGTTGGAATTCGTTACATTTGTTTTCATCTCGCTGGGATAAAGTCAAATCAAACAGCTAAAGTTCTGGCTGACCGGACAGTTTCCCAGATTTACCTGTGTCACACATCTTTTCAAAAAAATTAATAAAGAGATTTCATGTTGAGTGCGTCTGTTCTGTGATAGATAGGATATACTAAAAAAAAAAATTAATTAATAAGATCAAGATAAGATCAAGATTAATAGTATATACTCAAACCCGGCTACTTTAAAAAGCTTTTAGGACTGTGCCAGAGCCTCGTGATGAAATGCATCTTTGGCGACGTGATTTGGGTAGTAATAACTTCAAAGTTTCTCGCGCGATGAATTGCTCCCACGACTTGGTCGCAGATGACGTAGAAATGTGTTAAGAACAAATAAGTGGTACATAAGACATAACCGAATGTATTTGTTTTATATCATCTGTGATCTGTAAGATATGCATTGATATTAATAGTTTTAGGAATAAGCTTAGAGGGGCACGTTTAGACAAATGTAAGAGGAAGGAATGATATTTTAATTATTTTTAATTGTTAGTTAGTAATTTGTGTAATTATGTTTTGTATAATTATAATTATGTATTTTATTTTGGTATTTGATGCCGAAAAGCCCTTTGGGAAGTGGTCAGTAAAGATATATGTATGTATTTATGTATGTATGTATGTATGTATGTATGTATGAGAACTGAATTTAAATCTCATATAACTTCCGTAAAATTTATATTTTAAACTTTTATCATGCGCAAATTATTGTAAATAAAGCTAAAAATAAATAATTCCTTGGACTTTTGATGTTCAAGAATTGAATAACCTATACTCTCGAACTTCCGATATAGGTGAAAATTTGATCCAGGACTGAGAAGAAGGTTTTGGAGGTCTCTGAACGATGTCATTTCTTAAACTGACGAAGTGGGAATAAACAAAAATTTCAGACGTCGTCGTCCTTGAGCAACTTCACTGCTTAAGTTTCATTTTCCCGCTAAAAACGACGTCCTCGTTCCAGACCCTCCGTGATTACTTGACGTCGTCGTCGTCCCTTTCGTCGTGGTTGCTTAAGCTCCCTAATAACGTGAAATAACCAAACTTTAGGTTTTCTCGAGAACGTGAGCGCATGACTGTTGATTTTTCTTTCTTTCTCCTTACTTTAACGCCGTTCGTAGTGATATAGTCCCTGAATAGTTCGCCAGTATTTTCCAAGTGAAACACATCGGAATACCTCGAAAGAGCTACAAAAACGAAAAGTTAGATTTCGACACGACGTTTTCGTTGCCGTCGCCGTCGTCGTTGCTAAAGCTCCCTGTTGTTTTGCGAAGGACGGCTAAGAGATGTACTAAGTTTTAAAATGCACGTGCTGAGCTATTGTTCTGCCAATTAGATCTTTTGCTTTTCCACGTCCTCGTTGCCGGCGCTGTCGTGGTTTGCCGTCCATAATGAACGGAACCACGGCAATATGAAATCTATTTGTTTTACATGATAAAAAAGAAAAAATGTTGTTAATGATGACTTCATCTATGCGTCTGTCTTCTAATAGATCATAAAAAAAAGAACCAGTCAGAAGACTTATATCTTTCAGCTTATCGATCATATAAAATGCATCGTGTTAACAGGGTCATTCGTCAGAGCGATTCGTCATTACCAGAAAATTTTTTGTCATTCCGTTGTATTACGGAACACAGCCAAACAATAAGGTAATTTCTCTAAAAAAAAAACTCGCACATTTTCAATTAAACTGATCAGAACGTGTGCTCTCAAACTGCCGCTGTGTCCTCGTGTCTGATTACATGCGTGCGATCATGCGCAAAGAAGATTTAATACAACAATAATAAGACCAAACGGACGCAGGAGCCCATGATGGGCTCATGACGGACGTAAAGACAGCATGCAGAGTGACAATAACTCTCAATAAAGAAACGACAACTTTAAATTTAAATTTACAAGACATGTTTCGACATTCTCATGTCATCTTCAGCTGCAACTGAGCTTTTAACGGTTGTAGAGAGTGAATTTATGTTAAGGTACGTTACAAATTACGTGTCCGGACTTACGTTTCAATTTGAATATTAAATACGCGTAAAATGAAAATAGCTCGCGCATAACTAGACCAAAAAAAAATTATAATAATAATAATAAATAATAATAAATAAATAATAAGAGACAAAAGAAACAACAATAATAAGCAATTGCACACACGGATGGCTCGTAATCAGAGCGTCAAAATCAACTGAATTGAAAGTTATCTGTTACGTATTACAAACTTAGCATGCTGTGATTGTATTCTCAATGATAGGACCCGAGAGGCGAGTAAGCATATTCGAAAAATCCGGTTTATTGAGGTCTGGATATTCCGCGAGGTTCGACTGCACGACCCTTTGACTCCCATGGGTGAGGAAGATGTAACTTCTCCCCCACCATATCTGTCTTATCAGGCAGAAATTTAACGAGAAAAACCAAAATAATCGACTTGAAACTATAAATTTATCTCGTGAAAAATTCTGAGAGAGAAAGATAATAATAAATGTATGGCAGACAGTTAGAAGAATTGATATTGCGATTCTTGGATCCCGGTTAGCTCAATTGGTTAGAGCGCCGGATTGTGTTATGCGGGAGGTCGAGGGTTCGAGCCCCGGCCGGACCGATACTCATGGTCTTAAAATAAGTGAGGAGAATTTGCTACCTTTCATGTATGATCAAAAAATGGATAGATATTCTAGTCTTCTCGGATAAGGACGAATAAACCGTAGGCCCCGTCTCCTGCAGGGTTAGGGGTAGGAGATGTTAATTTCCCACGCACGAGATTACTGTGTGGTGGATGTCCTCCCCTGGCGTGGGATGGGTGGGAATTGGCACTGAAAAGCCCCTATGGGGAATGGTCAAGTAACGTATGTAACGTATTGGATACTAAAATATAGTACGTATACTGATTTAGATACTAATATGCAGTATAATATATACTAATATATTAATATAGCAGCTCACTGCCCCAATCTATCAAAGAAATGATATTTTTTCTTTCAAAATTAATCAGTGAGTGCACAGAATATTTTTATTCTTATATCTCCCCATTTAGTTGTCTGACTGCAGATTTGAAGAAAACGGATTGTGTTTTACTTGTTAATACTCGATTGTTTGTTATATTTTTTGTCATTCTTTGCATGTATAGCCAAGTACTTAGCGTCTCTTCCCACTAGTCAAAAGAAAGTTTTGCTTCCGCTTAAACCTTATGGCTCTCAGAGAAACAAAACCAGCTGTTTCCCTCGAGGCCACGACTCAAGTGCGTTTTATTGTAAGGAGTAGTCACATAGGCAACACTTCTGTTCTAGGATAATTGGCATAAAAATCCAAAGCATTTAAGAACGATGGTTATTTTTCTTGCTCTTGAACTCAAGAGGGAGCATTGTTCTATACGGATCTAATTTTTTTGCACGTGACCTTTTCCACCAATGAAAGCAGGCGACACTTCATCGGTATACTATTCCAGCTGATATTAGTATACTTTGCGCAAGTTGTTTACATTGTGGTGCAGTGTTGAGCTCGATCTTGTAACCGTCGGTGAACGACATGGATGTTTTCTGGACGTGCTTATGTTACGCAGTAATTCTTCACAATTGTATCAAGCTTTTCTCTGAAGCTGGTGAGTCGATCTGAAATGTGCTAACCTAGATTTAAGAGGATAATGGGTAGGTAAACTGACAAAATTTTTTTTTTTTTATGATACGGATCTAAGAGTGAATATCTGTTCAAGTAAACCTAAAATACACGTGCGAGATTACATGATAATCTCATTTACCGAGATCATCAACCAACAGCTCGTTTGTTTTAGAATGGCACACCAAATAATCCTCCCGAAAGCGGACTCCTGAGTTTATTTTTAAAAGTTTTTCAAAGTTTTCGAGTTACATTTTTGCGATTCCGGAGGCCTAAAAATCCTTGTTATGTCACAATTTTCCAATATTGTTATTCTCACTAGTCAGTTTTTAGGCGAAAATGTGTTGGAACTGAGTCGTTTAAAGATAACTTTTATTCAATATCTTGAATCCGCTCCTTCAGTTTAGAAACGAAAATTGCTTCTATTTAACCTATGGACCCTGGACAGAAGTTATTTAGAACACTTCTGATAGTATTTTTTTAATTATCCTAATTTCAATATAGCAGCGAGCTCCACTTACTTTCGGTTGCTAGTTTCAAGCTCATTTTAATTAAGAATTATTTAAAGATCAGAAAACCTCCCCACTACTTAGAAAACGATTTTTGAATTAAGTCAATTTAATGTAGGAAAAGTCTCTTACAAGTTTAACTTTCTAAAGGATATTGATTTTTAAAATTTAGAGCTAAGACCGAAGAATTACCGACACGGAGTTTAAAGTGAAAGCAAAGTTGAGAAACTGTGGCAATGCCACGTCTTACTCAGATCTGCTTTCTTTTATTTCCGAGAATGACGCGACGTGATGCATGTATCTAGATGAGGCAGTGAAAGCAGGGAGATGAAACGTGAGAATTTTATTACTTAACTTTCCTCGCAAACACACCGAATGTGGCTATTTCATGGCATTTGCTTTACCGAAGCTCAGATCAGAAACTGTTCAAAGTTCAATTCACGCGAGCAACATTGTTACTTCACGCTTTAGTTGTCGTCAAGGTTACAAAATACTAACTAGGTCACGTATACAACATGTGACCAATCGCTCTAAACGCACTTGGTCTTCTGCATGAGCCGTTCACGTGGATGCGCCGTAGCTGTTATGAAATCAGGAGAGATTTGTCAGTAATTAGCCTTGGAAAGTTGACCTTTTGGCAATGAGGCCTTTGGTCGGTGAAATAGCTCCTTTGTTCAGATTCGTAAATACTTTGGCAAGCCCCCAGCAACAATGATCAAAACACAAAGACGCCACTTCAGAATAGCTGGCTGACTCGCTGTTTGTCAAGCTGCATGAGAAATCCAGCCTTTCTTGAAACACTTTTGTCATTCAAAATATTTCCTAATATTTTCCATATTCGTACCTAGCTATTCAGTGCTGTGACCTCAACTGAAGTTATCTTCATAAAATTGTTGGAACAATTTGAATTTGGTGTCGATGGTAATGCGAGATGGCTTTGCCTTTGCTTTACTTCGCTCTGTGATTGGTCCAGAAACCTAGCGCCACTCTCTCGAACAATCAGAGACAAAGCTTAAAAACCAATCACGACTTGGTCGCTCGAGGTTACTCGTTCTTCAATGCGTTTTTTCTCATCTGCTTGGCCTTTGTTGTTATTTTGGTATTTGACTTAAAGACTCACTCAATCGAAAAGAACTCTATAATAAATGACATATTATATTGTGTAAAGGAAAAAAAAAAAAGAAAGACAGAAGAGAAAGTGTTTGATCTTGCTCCTCTTATAGTCCGAATGAATCTTTAAATGCATAGCGAGGCTCTCTGTCAAAACTCCATGGAAGATCATTTCAAACGCGTCGAAAACAAAACTTGAACTCGAGGACTCTATTCCACAATTGCGGGACTGCTACCAATGTTTAACCTTAATGACCAAAACCGCTAATTGTATGGGTATATTTTAATATTGAGCAAGGTCGTAACACCCAAAACCCATAATCCTTGCCAAAAAATTTTCGATGAATTGCTCGTGGGTGAAACAGCAAATTTACCAAACGCCTTGGCAAGATGTGTTTCGATAAATATTCTTCAATATCCCAAATTCTTGGTTTTAGACATGGTTTTCGATGGACTGAGAACCAACTTATGATTTTAGAAAGCTACAATATTTTCTGATATATTTATTCACTCAGTTTTGAACATTGGTGTTTCACAATAAACTATTGGATTGTGAAGAAATCAGGAAAAAAAATAGATGATTAAGCAAATTTATGTCATGTCATCTTCATATATAGTAATTCGAAACAAAAAAAGAAATTATAGTCTGTATCTAAGACTGAACTGAAACAAATTTTCAAGTTGTCATTCTAAGAGGCATGTGGGAGTGGAGGGGGGAGTGGGGGTGAAAATTGTACACTGATTTTCAGGTAATTCTGTTAAATCAAGAATGCCGGTATTTCTCTTTGCCAGAAATAAAGTGCGTTCGATTTAATTCTCTTTTCAAAATATACGTGTTTTACGAAAGGTCTCGATGCCAACAAAAGGCGAAATTAGTTTATATCATCAAGCCGAAATCTAATTTTGGAACAGTCCAAGTATACGCCGTATGACGTACGAATTAGTATCATCTAGCAGTATCTGGGTTTTTTTTTAAATAAATGGAATTATTTCATCTCCCGTCGTTAAGTTTCACGCATTCTCGACTCATTTTAGTTTCTTAACCGAAAACCGTGCTCAAAACGATTCCAGAATAAGTCACTTCCAGAATATTTCGCGATAGAATTCAACGTAGTAAAAAGTGATAGAGAGACAAAGATAAAACTCACTTTTTGAAAGCATATCAATGACCCCATAGGGAACTTAAAATAGAAATTTTAAGTAAAGCATGTGACGTTAACATATTTCGGTTCTGTAAGTGTGACGGGTTAAAATTCCATCAGAGTGAAAGAAACCACAAAAAATAAGCTTGGCAAGACATACGATTGATATAAACCAAGAAAGTAAGGAAACGGTTAAGGAGTTAACTCTCAAATGATGTCAGCTGTAGAAACTCTCTCCGATTGTCAGTTTACATTATCAACTACGTCAATAAAACCAGATCATCTCAGGATGGAAAGGACTGACATGGATGTCAAATAAAGACCCAAAATTTTATACGGAAATTTTCAATCTCCCGCTAAACCTTCATCCCTATTCTTTTGAGGTTGTGACATCTGTGTTTGAACAGCAATGAAAATAGATAAGCGACCCGGAATGCCATGTGAAGGATATAAAAAAACGTGTTTTACGTAATAAGCAAGTTTTTGTTCTCATATCGACTAAACAGCTTTTATGATATCATAAATAGAATCGAACTGAATGAATAACTGTCTCTGTTTCAACACGAAGACTGACAATAATTGTCTGTCGACTTTCTATGCGAGAGAAATCAATATCAAATCGTTAAAGGTTTAAAAAAAAAAGGTGCACAAAACGTACTCGCTTCAGAATATCTCTGACTGAGCGAAATATCGAACTTTTCAATATTGTGTAGGATTAGAAAACACTTTTCATATGCAAAGTTATGTAGATGCTGTAGACAGTTGTTAGTCTGGATATATATATTTATACTTTTCTCGCGTCATGTGTAGTGTGCAAAACACTGACTAATATAAAAATATTATTATGCACTTCTAACCCTGAGAAACGAGAGAAGACACATCATGGCAGCCGGTAGAGTTTTTGACGCTCGTGTGCTTTCATGTTTGTGGATTATTGCGGTTTATCTCGCAGCAGCAAATGGTGAGATCACAGAAAAGCTATCATCTGTCATTTTCATTAGTTGCTTTTAAAAGCAATACAATTTTAAGCACATAGTGCTAAGGAAACGAAGCACTTTAATTGCTATATTGATTGGAAATTAACTCGACAAGCTTGCTTTCGTGGGAGATCGATGGCAAAAGTTCTGTAAGACATGAAATTCAATGCAAAGCATGGTCAGAACACGCAATCATTAGTAATTGTTATTTCTTTGGAAGTCAAATGAGCGAATTTGTCTGTTTTCAAAGAAATTTTACAGATTATAAAGTAATTCATACAGATCACGAGATTGAATCGTTTAATTCAACACCGGGCTAGAGAATGATTAACAAATTTAAACGTTAACGAGCTGGTTGCGTTTAATTACATTGTCATTTACTTTTCTCCGTCCAAAACTGTATGGCCGGTGAAATCTTCTCAGTTGTGACCAAAGCCTAAAAACCAATCAGTAAAACTGTGAAATAATATACCAGAGATATTAGTGTTTCAGAAAGTACGTTCCAGATTTTACAAGCAAAGCGTGGGATCGGAAAGAAAACTAGTTTTGCCACACCAGCTCAGAATTCTTTAAGGTTTAAAAAGTTTCAAAGGGTTCTGGGGAACGAAAGACTTCGAAACGCAAGTCGTCTTTTCGATAGTCTTCCGATATTTCTGTGAGCCAGTATAGATGTGAATTTCGCAAATTCACATCTATACTGGCTAAAGAGCACGATCAACGTTACATTAGCAGAAAGGTCCGTATCTTTCGAAAATAGGGCGCGTTTTTATTTTCAACTGCAATATGTGTAGAATTTATGATAACAAGTTCTTTTCCAACAAGCAAAACATTGATGAAAACTACATGGCCTGCCGCCTCCATTTCTTAAAATGATCTGATTTAAAATATTGTTGCAATCTTCACAGGAACTGTTATACCTGGTGTATGCTGATTTCATCACGAAATTGAAATAAACAGACTGAAAAATAAGGAAAAACTACCTGGCAACTAATCTAACCATAGTGTTTGGGACTAGCAAACATCGCTACACATGGATTAAATTTAAGGTCATTGGGGACTGGACTTAAATTTGTCAGAATTAAATGAGTACGACGAGCAAGGGAATGAATTGTTCAACATCATAGATATATTTTTGCTTGGATGTCAAATACTAAATATTCTAAATTAGGATATATTACAAAGGTGAATAGTGCTTTACGCGCAAGCTGATCGGCTAGTTCAAGTGACTATTTACTTCACAGCAGCTGAGGAGACAAAATCGTGCCTCAAGGGTTTAATTTCGGCCATTGTTCAATACATTGACAGAAACAATTATATTTTTTGGTTTGTGTGTGGTATGTACTAAAACAATGATTCACCTCAGTGTCGGTAAAAGTAGTGGGTATTCACCTCGCCTCTTTGCGGCTCGGTTAATATCCACCAATATTCACCTCCACTTCGATGACCTAATTATTAACCAAAAGCTTCACAAATGTCAACCGTGCTAGTATAGCTTCACACTGCAGTTATTTTCCTGTAAGGAACAGTGATCCTGAACAGGCATAGATCATTCTAAAATTTGATAGCCAAGTCAGCTGGTAAGTAGTCATTCAATTAGTCAGTCAGTTGGTTTGCATCTCTAACTTTGGAACCTAACACAACATTTTCTTTGACTCAAAACAGAGAGGCTTTCTTTGGACACGAATCTAACACGAAAAGAAATCATTACCATCTTGGGACGTAAAGTTAATCTTGGTTGCTATGTGACGAAAAACTACCCCGAGTCTTCGCAGACCCAGGCCTCGTCTCTTGTTAGCTATGTCTGGCTGAAGGAAAACACTATTAAAGCTCGGATCAACAACTCAAGCGCTCGTGGCCATGTCCTCGTTGTAGATCCAAAAGACGATTCAGATTTTGGCACATATTGGTGTAACGTCACAAATGGTGTCTCTAGAACTCAATGTAGTATAAAACTGAAGCAAGGATGGACAAAGACGGGTTAGTTTTGTAGTGCATGTAATGTTATGTGTTATCATGCTCAAAGTGTAAAAAATCATTTGAACCATGGATTTTTAAGGTAATCACCACATAAAAAGTGCAATTATAAATTCACGTCGGCTTAAAAGCTTCGAAAAATCCTTGAAAACTTCTACAAGAGGTGCACATAGCATTTTTTATGAAACTCAACCATTCTCAAAAACGTTCCCCAGAGGGAATCTCCCAATAGTACATTCAAGACGCGTATGGAGAGTCAGTCTCGGATCTAACCTCTCGGATCGTGCCATGCTATTCCAGAAGCTATAATTCTGATTGGCATTTAGTTACTTTCCAAAAAGTATTCCTCTCATAATTACACTCCCATAACATTTGTTAGGACACTTACTGCCTTCCCCTGCCCCTCTCAATTTTGGTCTGCAAAATGGCAAAGACACATTGGCCAAGCTAATAAAGTCTAGGAGTGCCACGTTTTTTCAGGAAACCAATATTCTGATCGGTGTTTACTTGCTTTCTAGAAATCGTTCCTCTCACAACTGGGTGTGTGAACATATCATTGCTGATGCCAGTGTTAGCAGTTGCCGTATTGTCGTTGCTGTTGGTCATTCATCTTCTGATAAAAAAAAAGAACACTAAAAAGGCCCTACCAGAAACTTCGGAGCAAGAATACGAACGGCACAAGAAAACGTCTGTTGCTCATCCTCATGCCGAACAACGCATGGAAACCAGACGATTATCAAGGGATCTTCTTTACAACAGTGTCAGAGACGGATCAAACAACAAAGAGTCAAAACAAGAGGTGGTATCCGTTGAAATGCACGTTGGAGGAGAGCTTCACAGCACGCCAAATGGCAGACTGGGATCAGTCAGCAACCTCAAACGGGAGCGCCAGAGAGGCTTTTACAACAAATCCGTTCGAAACGTACCGATTGTTTCAGGAGAGGGAGAAACAACTCCGAAGGGGATCGGATTTTATAATGCTAACTTCAAAAACGAGTCTATGGATAGCGGTCTGGAAAATTCCCGCACGGTCTCACCAAACACAAGCTTCGACGAAACCTCCCTGGCTGACGAGAGCACACTAAAAGGATATTTCAATAAAACATTTAAAAACAACACCATGGAAGAGGATGGTGCTGACGATGTCTTTACCAAAAAAAGCGAAGAGCTGACGGCGGCAGATAAATCGAAGAGTGGAAAGGCGATGGGGTTCTACAACAAGACATTTCATTCCGACTCTATGGACCTCACTGATGATGCAAATGATGGTACCCTCGTATCAGTTGCAAGTAGTTCGGCGGTAGGTGAAGCTGGAGATAAAACAGCGCAACCAAAAGCGTTGACTGACATATTCCCAAAGCAGGAAGAGGAAATGACAGTCGCTGACAAATCAAAAAGTGGAAAGGCCATGGGATTCTTCAATAAAACCTTTCATTCCGACTCCATCGACGTCTCAGATGGCGATGAAGATGGATTCCCCGCAGCAGAATCAGGTAATCCTGCGGACAGCAAGACTAAAGATGAAAAAGTAGATACATCGATATCTAATGATGTACCAGACATCTTGACAGTCGCTGAAAAGTCTAAGAGTGGCAAAGCGATGGGATTCTTTAACAAAACGTTCCACGAGTCTGTGGATATCCCAGACGACGTTGCTGATGGTGCCGGCGTGTCAGAATCAGGGAATTCAGCAAAGAGCGAATCAAAGGAGGAGGAAACGCATGCGTCCGAAGAAGACACATACTTCTAAGAGGAGAACATTTCAAAATATTTAAGAACTGACGATGTAATTTTCTGTCGGTTTTTTTTTACCCTATTTTAACCAAGATGATACTCGTTTCAAATTTCACTTTCCTCGGCAATCCATTGTGTCTATCTGACTATTTTTCGTGATTGGAAGAGCTCCTATACAGTGCATGATAACTAAGGTAAGAAACTCACTTATGTACATAATTTTGCTTCATTTCTTTCGTTTGAAAAACGACTGATTCTTCCGTATTTGATTTATAACGTAGTAAATGACTCAAAATCTAAGGCGTCAAAACTTATGGAAGTACGAAATTACAGAATATGGGAAAACCATTTGGTTAAAGCGGCGATGCAATCGATTACACCTTTAGAGCCTGATTCTCTGTTTATGGGCCCGTTTGGCAAAAGTCCCTTTGGCAACTCGTACAGAATGATCAGCTCTTTTCCTGCTTATCAGTGTTAACATTCAAAATAGATACCTTACGCACCAGTCACCTAAGGGGGGAGAGGGTGAAAGATTTTGGAGGGGGGGTTGAATGGTTTTCAGGGAAAACGGAGGGAAATCGGTCGTCGCCAACGGCGTATTAAAGGGGGACAACAGAATATTTACTGCCAATGAGAGGGGGGGGAATCAGATAAATTTTTGGCGATACAACCCATATACTAACCGGTCCCTAATTGTAAACGTATGTAAAAACTAGTCTTGTACCGCGATCTTCCATGGCCAATTACACGGTAGGATCTGGGTACAAGTTGAAGTGTGAACGTATATGTGGAATTTTTCAAAAATGTAAAGATTTTGTCAGAATTTCCAGCGTAACCATCGCTACAAAGGAAAGGAAGAAATATTTAAAATACTAATAATCAAAGTAAGTATTATCAATAATTTTAGCATTTAGATAATGTTAATATTTTATGTAAGAGTTATAAATATATCAATATTTTAAGTAACGCCGGAATTAGTAATTATAACAACGCTAGTTTTGTGTATGTCGTTGATTAAAAACTATTAAAGAAAAAAGGCATAACTTGCAACTCATTAAGGTCTCATGGGAACTTCTCAGTTTATCGCCTGCTAACGCTGCATTGTAGATTAAAGACAAACGGGATTTTTTACGATAATTTATAACTTTTACAACGGCGTTTGACAATTTTTTCAATAAAGAAAAAAAAAACAAAAAAGTTCTTTATCCTCCGTTATTTATAGTTCATCCTATTTATAGTTCATCCTTCAACCCCACAAGAGCTTACAAGGAACTTTTCCTGACATTAGCTATACATTATGGGGATGAGCATCGAGAAACCGAGAAATATTCAACAACTAATCACCTAAATGGAGGTGACTAGTAATGATCAGTGAGGCAAATAGTTGTTTTATCATATTCTAGAACAATGAGGTGATATAGCACAAAGGGATGATTTTAACTAATTAACCTCTACAACAATTACAACGGATATATTTGGGCGCAAATCCCGCGCGCTTTTCCAAGAGATGAATAGTTGTTTTAGTATCTACTAAAACAGTGAGATAATATTCACCACCAAATATTGATTTGAGAGATTTCTTCGCTTGTCACGGATGCAAACCGGGACGCTATTTTTACCACGAGTCGCTCGGAGGTAAATAGCAAAGGATATTCGGAGTTTGACTAGCCAATAAGAGCGCGCCTTCAGCGCTATCCTCTGTTTTAGTATCTACTAACAAAGGATATTCCGTGTGACAGTAGCCAATCACGTCGCGCCCATAACGCTCTTCGCTGTTTTTGTATATACTAAATTAGGTTGTCTCGGCAGAGACCCGAATTTTATGGACCAACCATACGTTTAATGTTGATATACTGCGAGTAGCAAATAAGGAGAAATGCAAATCGAATCTGAGGCCAAGGTTCAGAGCAATTTTCAATTCAGTTGCTTTGATTTTGCTTTATTTTGCATCGTGTGTGATTATTCCAGAAAATTCTCGCTACTTTCACGACCAATCAGATTTAAAACTTAAACCAATAGCGACTTAGTCAAGTGCGTTCTCGTATGTCATTAAAGGGGCAATCATTCAAGAAGGGGGCAAAAATCAATTGACTGGCAACCCATCCTGGTAAAGTACCATATATGTGTCAGTTAAAAATTTTCAAAACACACATTGAGAGGAAAGGATGAATAGAGTTGACCAGCAAAACATTTTATCGAGACCAAACGTCTTTTAGAAAATGTTATTAGCGTGACATGAATTGAAAAGGTATAAATTTATCCTGATGGAGAAAAATATAGAACGGAAACTAACAAAGGAGAGTGTGTTGCGAAGTACAGTGCGCTGCGTGTGAAAGGTTCCTAAACATCTCTTCCCTTACCTCACCTTTGGTCTAATGGTCTAACCATTTTCACTGCATTATTACCTCACCTTTGGTCTAATGGTCTAACCATTTTCACTGCATTATTACCTCACCTTTGGTCTAATGGTCTAACCATTTTCACTGCATTATTACCTCACCTTTGGTCTAATGGTCTAACCATTTTCACTGCATTATTACCTCACCTTTGGTCTAATGGTCTAACCATTTTCACTGCATTATTACCTCACCTTTGGTCTAATGGTCTAACCATTTTCACTGCATTATTACCTCACCTTTGGTCTAATGGTCTAACCATTTTCACTGCATTATTACCTCACCTTTGGTCTAATGGTCTAACCATTTTCACTGCATTATTACCTCACCTTTGGTCTAATGGTCTAACCATTTTCACTGCATTATTACCTCACCTTTGGTCTAATGGTCTAACCATTTTCACTGCATTATTACCTCACCTTTGGTCTAATGGTCTAACCATTTTCACTGCATTATTACCTCACCTTTGGTCTAATGGTCTAACCATTTTCACTGCATTATNGCAGAAAAATCGGGTACGGACGTGTCAAAAAAGTAGTACGGATCGCATAATTTTAGCCATTTACACGGATGATGTTTTATCACGAGTCGGACAAAAAGAGGCATAAGGACCACGTTAGCAAGGTTGCGTTTACACTGCAGTTTTTGGGGGACCGGACCAATTTCTTGCATGGGACTACAGTATTTGGTACAGCTGTGTGCTGTTATCGAACATGCGTAATTCTTGGCGACGCTTGATGCTGAGTTATGGGTACGGACCCTTTGGGTCCCAAAACCAGAAAAAACACGGGTCCGTACCCATCCCCCAAAACATGGTACGGATTGTTTACAGGCGCAAAAATGTGAGGTCCGAACTCCTTTTTCGACACGTCAGTAACCGATTTTTCTGCCGTGTAAACGGCCTTTTAGTCAGTTCAACAACATTGACAAAGTTGAAAAGGTCCAGGTTTAAATTTACAAAAGTACTCTCTGGCTGATACCCAATCAGCCAGGTATATCTAATCAGATCTCTTTTCTCGATCACTTCTTGTAAGTAAATGAACTACATAAACAGCCTTGGCGGCTGATTTTAATAATTTCCCGAACAGTTAGAAAAGGGAAACCCTGCTAGTGAATGTTAAATGAGAATCGCCTTGATATCGTTCACACTTGAAAAAACACGATACACGGCTCCTGATTATACATATCGTTTACTTCACGCGTGAAAAATGCGATACGCGTCATTGGGTTGAATCACCAGCTTGTGAAAGAATTTCATCTCACCGCCTTTCGAGTAAATAAATCTCGGTAAGTATGAAGTAATATGGTTTCCTCACGTCCATAGCCCAGCTTTCAACCTTGACCGTGATCACACGATGCAAGCTCGCACTATAAGCAAACGGATTGGCTCACGGCGCTGCTTTGACACGTTAGGCTTGTGATATGATTGGATGAGAGACCAGTTGACGTACTGACGATATTTAAATAAGCTGACAGATAAACAACGTGAAAAAACACGATACTTAGCTCCTGATTACACGTATCGTTTACTTCACACGTGAAAAATGCGATACGCGTTATTTGATTGACTCTGACCGGCTTGTGAATGAAAATTCATTTCGCCACCTTTTGGTTTTGTAAATCCCTATTTGCATAAACAAATAAGGTTTCCTCACGTCCATAGCCCCGCTCTCGACCTTGACATCGATCACATGATGCAAGCTCACGCAAGAAGCAAACGAATTGGCTAACGGCACTGCTTTGACATGTTAGGCTTCGTGATATGATTGGAAGAGACCAGGTGACGTTCCGATGGGCTTTGAATAGGCTGATAGATAAAAAAACGTGAAAACACTTCCCCGTGTGGTACGTTTAATCGAGTAATGGAGAATCAAAGTCAGAAAGGCAAAATGAATGAAGATGGATGGATCCCCACTGGGGAAAAAATTGATCCTTCACATGGAGCCAGACGAAAATAGAAAGCAGAACAGACCCTTGTTCATATCGTAACCGATCCAACCAGACGAAAACATCAACAGTTTCCGGCTTCATCTCACAAAAGGGTTGGTCGTGCTCAAAAACACCAACCGAGCCTGCTAAAATTGAAAATTTCTCCAAGACGTACGCAAGTTTTCAGTCATGACCATGTATTCCTTGTTAATGCGCCACAGGGTAATGAGCTGCTGTGTCTGTCTCCCAATTCAGTTCCATTGCCGCAGTTATCGCCACCCGGTACCTCTGCACCCAATTTATCTTCAACCACCGGAGAGAAATTTTCAGCAGGAGCGCGGAGGTCTTCTGCTTTCCAATGGCCTTCATGTGAAACAGCACCGAACGCTCGGTGCAGTCGTAGCAAGATGACGTCAGATGCTGTACATGGTCGAAACCCACTCGAACAGATTCGTTCCGCAGAATCAAAGTCGCATTTTATTTCCACAAACAACGAATCCAATTCTGGTTCACGAAGACCAGGTTGGAGGTTGCCTCCAATAATTCACCTTCCTAGGGATCGTGGAGGCATCTCAAAGGAAAGGCGATTCTCAACATCACTCCAATCAAAATGCCACGCGCTATCCGCGCGCACTCAAGTCTATAGCAAAACAAGAAAAAGTACCGCTGACTCCACGACTACGGAAGTCGAGACAAACGATAAACAAGGTCTACAGTATAGCATTAGGTCGGGGAACTCTTCCCCCGACTCTTTGGTAGCTCAGTTAATTTCTAACACTGAAAGGTTACTTTTGAATGACTCTGTCGCAAGCAGAGCTCTTAAGGAGAAGAAAAGACGCGCTCGCAACATGAGGAAAAAATTTGGTTAAAAACGGTTTTAAAACAGATTACAACTCGTGCTGACGTCCATCTTTTTTCCGAGGCGGTACCAGAACTGCGTCGCCAGGAAACTGGCGGAAGGATATTTAAAAGGCGCGGTTTTAAATAACTTTAATCTCTCAAAGTTTTTGTTTCCTTGTCTCCAACATTATGTTTTACATGTAAATAAAGCTTACTGTAGAAATTAAACTAAACATTACTCCTATTTGATGTCCCACATGGCTGATTCGGTGTTTCTTTCCTGAAGAGAGGTTTTCTTTCCACCTGTATCGTGATATCAATTGACTCCTCCTCTTGCTATCCCCCAGTCCTTCGCCGTTTGTTTAACCTACGATCGGGCTCTCGTGTTTCGGTTTCGCCTTACGGCACAGCCGCCCATTCCACCATTGGCAGCCGCTTATGGATAAGGTTTTTGAAACCTCTTGTGTTGTTTTGTAAGGCCAAACAACTTCTGCAAGGGACACTAGTGAATAACCGCCTCCTGGTTAGCTCAATTGGTTAGAGCGCCGGATTGTGTTGTGCGGGAGGTCGAGGGTTCGAGCCCCGGCCGGACCAATACTC